AAATTAACGCGGACGAAGTCGCGGGCAAAAACTAGTATGATATAAAATATATAACAGTTTACTTAGAACTAATTCCGCACAAACAGTTTCTTGCGAATAAAACATTTAACTTTCATTCTAATGTATTAGCTACTAGACTTTTATGGTATCTAAGTATATAACTAATACATAATACATATACAGGGTGACTGGTGAATTACTATCGATATTTGAGGACGTGATATTTGACGATCATATATGACAAAATAAAAATTAATATAACATAAATATTAATAAACTTCTAAGTAAAGTTAACCAAAAGTTATTTAATTAATTACGCATCGTATGAACACCCTACAGATTAGGTATACACACACACTCACACAGACGCGGCGGCGGCGTAGTGTTGTATCAGCACGCCGCCGCACGCGTCCACACTTGGAACACTTGGAACGTGTACACACTATTTATTTATACGAAAATTTGGTCAAAAATTAAGTACCTATTTTTTTTACATAATTCGAATGAGAATCATGTACCGAGTATGCTCCTTAAATATTGATAGTAATTCACCAGTCACCCTGTATACATACGAGTATTTTATAATGTACTAATAACAGAATTATTTCTCCATTAATCATATTTTCAAATAATTTCTATATATTTCAATGAATCATTAAATCCATGGTGTTTGATGTAACTCCCATCGTAAGTTCCATGGCGCTGATGCAATTTAAGTACGGGTTTAAGTTGACAAGCGGAAGAGAGTAAGTATCAGATATATGGTTTTACTTATATTGTTAAATAAATAAGAAATCTCCTATATCTTTATACATATAATTCTTCTGTGAGTGTGTATGTCACTGAACTTCTCTCAAACGACTGGACAGATTTTGATGAATTTTTTTGTGTGTGTTCAAGGGGATCTGGGAATTGTCTAGATTCACAATTTTGTCCGCTGGACAATGTTTTTTAATTATTTATTTATTAGTAGTTGTTGATACAAACGTTTTTTTTGACATTAGATTTGACAACTAACTAATATGTCAATCATTCTGTCGCACTTCAAAACACGGAGATTTATGGCTTTAATAGGTAGACTCCAAAAATATAAATAAAAAAACATAACAGATATTTCGTGATTATAGGACGATACGAAGTTCACCGGGTCTTCTAGTTATATATATAGTACTATTAACACGATGATTTAGGAATATATGAATAGCAATATATAGAGGCGAGAGTTTTAGGCGATAATTTTAAGTTATATTTCAAGCTGTATACTACCATAAGTACACAGGCATAATCACACCACTTACGAACAGTTAAAAGTAATTAATTCAATTTACGAATGTGATAATAATGAAGTATTTAGATGTGAGTATTATTATTACTTTCTTATAGATATGCTGATTGCTGATAATAATGGTTGGCTTCAAAGAAAAAATCAACTACCTATATGTTATATTATTTCTTCTCAATCTTCTTCCTAGCAATTTCCCAGCTATAGCCAGGGTCTGCCTTACATGTTGTGAATAGTTTTGGCTAATTGTTTTTACGACCGGCCGCCTGCCTGACATCAACCCTCTTTGGGAATGCATTGATCAGTGACGTCTAAATACTCTTGGAAAGTACATGTGACTCGCAAAAATCACATTCATGCCAGGGCAAGTATTTTAATATTATTAATATTGTAAGGTACATTTGTATTGTGATACTAGCTGACAGACTTCGTACTGCCTCAATCAAGAAATAAATTAGGTCTTATTTATTTTTTGGTGTTTACCTTTAAGCCATAAATCTCCGTGTTCTGAAGTGCGACAAAATGATTGACATATTAGTTAGTTGTCAGCTTTTAAACCTTCCCTGAACCTCCACGAATATTTCAAGACTATGATAAGATAAATCCATTCAGTCGTTCTCGAGTTTTAGTGAGATCAAGGAACAGCAATTCATTTTTATATACAAAGATTATTTGATTTCTTCATGTATGTATGTGTGTGTATGTGTATGTATATGTGTGTCTGTCTATGTGTGTGTGTTTAATCGCTACCTCCTATACCTTACACCGTGGCTAAGTCTCATTGCATTCCGCGGTGTGTACTGAACCCCACACTTTTCCCACATTACGTAACACCTCCATTCAAACATCATCGTATCAATTTAACCATCAATTTGTTCGTCAAATCGTTATTCGTTAACGATTCACGTATTGTGAAACTCGTACTAATATAGAATTTCGTATCTTAATTGCTATGTATAAGCCATTATATATATATATATATATATATATATATATATATATATATATATATATATATATATATATATATATATATATATATATATATTTTATAATTTAAACTTAGAAATTTCAGTGAATTTATAGAAAATATTGTAAGCAATTGTAATATGAGGAATATGTATATAGGATAAAATAGTATTTAAATAATTATATTATTTACTTGCGATAAAATCTTTTTAGTGTATTTTCTAATACATATATATAATATGCAAATGTTTCATATACTTCTTTATATATAATAAAAAAAAGTGTTAATATTAATTTAATAATCCGGTACGATCGTGTAACCAGCCATCGAACCTACGACCCCTGATAGTGAAAGCTGTAACATCTCGACTTACGTACGGAAACAGAGGAAGCATATCTCGTTACGATACTATTCATATATATAATTTAAATTAATATTAAAAATTAACTAGAAAACTAGATTCTAGACAAATTTAATAAATCTAGATTCTAGATGGCTCACGATAAAAAATTAAACAAACTAATCATTTAAATGAAAATAATATTTCTCGGTTATACTACGCGTGCTTTACTTAAAAAAACTACATACTCCCGACGTTTCGGCTACTTTTCGACAATCGTGATGACGGACAGACGAGATGTCCGTAATTTTAATGTATATGCGAAAAATATTAGTTTCATTTAAATGAATACTCGCGAAAGTCTTAAATCTCATTAAACAAACTAATCTTGAAGTACGTCATGAGAGTATTGTAAACTGTACTTCAGTTTATAGAGAGTGAAATTGAAATACTAATAAGGCATATATATTACTTAATAATAATATTATTGTTTGTTTGTTCGTTTAAATTTTGTTATATATTCCTATTAATATAATTAAATATTAGTTTACGTACATATGTAATAAAGGTTTTTAATGTCAAATTAATTTATGGTATTGAATAATTGAAATGAAAATGAACTAAGTTCTTGATCAAAATATTTTCAGTACATATCCTATATAATTAAATTTATATTATCATTGACTGCTCTTGAATCATTTGTTCTGTATTTTTGATAGTGCTATAAAAGGTTCGAACTGGAATGTTAAGATACTAGCAATGCAGCCGACTTCACTCGCATTTTTGATATATTTATAATATTACTTTGTAAAATAAATTACTCAGTGAACACGTAAGTAGTGCTAATGAAAATTCTTAATTTACATATATATGTTATCAATTTAAAATTAAACAAGGGTATCTGGCTAGATATTTTTAAGTAAAAGATGAAGTGTTTAAGAAACGGAATATTTTTTTCAGATCCTTTAATAGCAAAACGTTTTTACATTCAAATATAAGGTAATATATAGGTGTAAAGATTTTTATATTAAAGAGACACACATTTGAGTGGAAAAATAATAGTTTGCCAATTCGCATTCTATGTTAATATGTTAATATTATGTACGAAAAACTTTTAACGCGACGTAAGTAGTGTGGACTCATACTTAGGGTAAAGATACTGGAGTCTTTACGTTATATATTAAACAGTTTACGAAATTCAAAGTATTACAATTTTTATGTTATTTTACAACGAATTTATGTACTATTTATAAGTAAGTTACAATCTATTTTTCTTCTTCTATTATTTAGTTAGCGGCGTTTCCTTATATCGCTTGTCGTGTGCCGATTTTATACTGAACTATGTAAAGAGGAATTAATGAATTAACAAGCTCGAGACTAAGAGTTAGAAAAAATTCTATTTTTTATCGTCTAGAATGTTCTATATGAACTGTTTTTACTTGTAGTCGACTTCCGGTGGCGCTGAGTACTGTATATGTATGTATGTATGTTCCGGATGTCTCCGCGATGTCTGTCGTACATATTCTACACAATCTCTCTCAATAATATGTTATTACATTATTGTTATTTCCTCTGCCATTAACGAAAGTAAAAACTATGTGAGAGGGAGCTCGGAATGTATTGTAACTGGTCGTTAGACGCAGTTCGAATATTTGTTATAATAATAATAATTAATACATTATTGAACATATGTATGTATATGCCTTATTTTTAATATATTCTACTATCCATCAACAATATATTAAAACAATCAATTTAAAACTCAAAACAATTTGCTACGAATTTTATTATACCCTTAGTACGAAATTTCATCATTAACGCATAACCATAAGTTTTAACGTATTCCACACATGAATTACTGAAATATTTGTATAACAAACTTATGAATGAAAACTGGATATCGCTAAGAGTAATACACACTGAACTCGATCGCGTATTATGTCTTGTAAGGCTTATTGATATAGATAACTTTCAATAATAATAAACTTATTTAAAGAATTCACTTTTACTCTCCTAATAATACATTTTAAATATATGAGTAGTACCTAAATTTTATGCTTTTTATTGGTTCAAATTCAAACATAATGATTGAGAATATTTGAATAAGTTCGGCTTATAGATCCATATTTCTGTTTATTCCTTTAGAGAATTATAATTTAAATTATCCTTACACTTGATAAAGCTGTATCTGAATGGACCAGTCATATTTATTATTATAGCATTTGTTAGAAAGCTTAAACCGAGCGATAACAACCTTTATTTGAAACAAATACTTAGCTGCGGGTGTTATTCATCAAATTATATAGTTTCTCTTGTGATAAAAGGAATTATAGTAAGTATAAAAGCCACTTAAGTTATACAACAATGAAACTAAACGTAATTAAACGGATTATAACCAAATCACTCACCTCTTTGGCTGTACGCTTCGCATATGTCACAAACGGAAGCCCATAATAGAAAATATAATATAACTTTAAAATAAACCATCACTGTCATATTTCACAATGTTTTTTTATCACAAATTTCAACACTTATATAACGTAATAATAAAATTAAAAGACATCAAACTCGACACCAGTAAAAGTGATTATATTTTTTGCGCGCGAAAACTGTTTTAGAATGGCGTCCGTAGTTGTCACTGTCCGAATTAGAAATGAAATGAAAAAAGTCCCGCGCACTACATTGTTATTATTGAGTGTTTTTACTTTTTACAACCGGCGCCTGTATCCCCACTGGGAAAAGGTGTCGCTCTGAGGCGGTACGAATAAACAACATTTGGTTTACACTTAATATTTAAAACTATGCATTATAAAAAAAAGATAATTTTATTTAAAAATGTGAAATGATAGCGCGTGTTCAAGTTGCAGTTACATTGCATTTACATTGCCGAGTAATAATACGCAACTTCCCTTTTATATTATGACAGTTACTTCCTCTTTACTTATAAAATTAACGATTTATTGTTACAATATGGCTGTATAATGAGTATTAACATAATATTTTTGTTTAATATCCGTGATAGGAATGTTCACTTTTAACAATTTAATTCTCAGAAACCTTATTATTTAATTCGTTTAGATTCGAATTAGATGGAATTTATTGTAAGATTTTGCTTCCTTTTACATTTTGTGAGTAATTAAATGTCATCATTCACTGATTTACAATATACTTTAATCCTTTTTTACATCCTTAAAATTCTTGAAACATTAAAGCAAGCCATAACTTCATTTAATTTTAAAATACTATATATAAAAGAGTCTATAGCCCTATTAAAGCAAATACATTTTATTACAAGTAAGTATTACAAAATTAACAATACCTAATCAAATACAAGTGTTTTCATTTTATTGTTAATATTAAATGTATTATTTGAATTGTAAATTGTGTTACACAGCTGGCAACACTGAACGTCTCGATGGTTTGTGCGTGCTCTTGGTAACTCTTAAGTAAATGCTGTCAATCCAAGGTTTCTTCCTTTTGCAATTACTTAAGATAGTCCGCTTTCTACCTTAAGGGTTTTAAACTATTGCACCAAATTTTATTTCTTGTTTAGCTTCGTGAGATTTAAGATATTGATATAAAAACTAGTTTTGTAAATTAATTATATTAAATAATTGTATTTGAGTCTTTGCTTGCAAATGGAAAACAAGTAAGCATTGTCGTCAAATTATCCGAAGTCTTTAGGTTTATCTTCGTGGCTCAATGTCACTACGTGGATTTAGAACTTATAAATTAAAAGAGAATATTTAAATTTAAAAAATATTATATGTATAATATATTTGAATGTTACGTTTAAGTTAAAGCCTTCAAATAAACCAAATATTAAATGTATGTATACACTTGTAGTAGGTATATTTTAAACCTGCGTTAGACGAAGCATGAAAATGGCAACAAAATTTACATAATCTGTCTATTTTTCAATTATAAAACGTAAAAACGTTTTAAATACATTTTATACTCAATAGATTTTTTATAATTTATTTTTTTCCAGGTTATAAGTAAACTTAATTTAGATGACTAACTGTCGGTCAAAAGTATTAATTTGAAAAAATCCGCTTAAATAAATATTATTTATTTTATTTTATTCCTTTCGACAAACTCCTTCGCTTTTCCTCCAAACAGTTCTCAATATTATAATTCGTCCAACAAATAAAATCGTTGACCTTGGCAGAATATTGCACGATTCCAGTGCGAATGAAGCCACAGCATAAAAAAGATATATGTAAAACTTGCAGAGATACAAAACAAATGGCACATTACTTTCAAATCACAATTATTTTGAATGTTATTTCAGTGTTAGTTTTTTTAATTTTATACATGAAATCTCTTTCATAGCTAAGAATCAATCACTTTGTAGCATAAAATAAAATCACTTTCTCTGTCCATATATCCCTATGTATGTTTAAATCTTTAAAACTATGGAACCGATTTTTATGCAGTTTTGTTTGATAGATAGAGTGATTGAAGAGGAAGGTTTGTATTTATACCTTTTTTTTTTGTTTTTTTTTTTTTTATGTGAAAGGTATCAAACGAGCACACGGCCCACTTGATGGAAGGTGGTTACCGTCGCCCATTGACATCCGCAACATCTCGATGCGGATGCGTTGCCAACCTTGTTTTTTAGGGATAGGGAGGGGTGGGAATAAGGAAATGGTAGGAAAGGGTGGGAATAGGGAAAGGGCAACCGGCTCTCTCACTCATCAGACGAAACGCAGCCATTAGAGGCTACTTCACGCCGATCTTCTGTGAGAGGGTGGTACTTCCCCGGTCGAGCCAGCCCATGTTCGAGCTGTAGTCATTAAATACAGCTAGGCTCTACCACCTACAAAAATAATTATATCAATTAAATAATGGAGAAATACTAGTATTTTTTGACATAAATAGTTACTTTTTTCTTACATTACACACGCTGGCTGAATCCTACGAGATTTATCAAAATAATTTCTAAGTATTGTACACTTAAAAAAGGTCTACAGAAAACTACCCGATGGTATATGTCTATATCTTATGGGTATCCCACTATAACAATTTTGATCATATACTTTTACGACAAATAATGGTAAACTTTCGAAACGATTTTAACAAATACATCATTAATCCTTATCCAATTAAGTACTTTTAATAAATTGTTAATTTAATTTATATCTTTACGGCTCTTTGCAACATATGACTTAAATTTTATTTCCTTGAGACACAGGAGCGGGCGGCTATGTTTTTATATACCACGTTCACAGTTTTTCTGTAGTACATTTAGTATCAGCATTGCATGCGTGCGAAGCCGGGACGGGTGGCTAGTTTTCCTATAAACGACAAAACGAAACATCAAAGTTACAGCTTGTCGTAAAATATTTTTAAGGAAACAGTAGTTTGTAATATTGTAATAGTAAATGGACTTCACATCTTTTTATAGGAAGCTTTTTATAGTAATAATTTATTTTGTTAATGCCGCTGTATTTACTAATTAATAATTTTAATCGCCTGGTTGCAAGTGGATTTGAATTATGAAGCCTTTCAGCGTTGGTATATCTATAATCTATTTGTATTGATGGGTAAAATTTCTGTAGACTTATAACTCGAAGTGTCTATATGCATGGAAAGCTAAAAAACTAGTTAGATTATTTTTGATCTACATAAAACTAAAAAAAAACATTATACCAAAAAAATGTAAAACGCCATCTATCTTTATTTTTAGGCCGTGCGTAGTAAATCAATACTTAACTGTCTATAGTAGTTCATAAAACTCCCGCGTGAGGCGCTTGTGGTCAAGAATAAGTGACAACTGTTGTTATCTCTTTCTTGTCTACCTGTATTCAACATGTTGGAAAGAAAAGGATGACTTAAGTGGCGAAATGAACTTCGTTTGAACAGTAAACTTATTGTGACGTTTGAGTTTTGAGTTTTGACTTAGTCAGTTATAAGCGCTTATTGTGGAGGATTGTTGAAGACACGTTTTGCAAGTTAATATTAAATTTTCGCGTGTTGCTTACTTCAATTATAATTAAAAAGTGTGTCGTCTTCGGTTTAAATACTAGTTTTTTCTTCATCTCGTGTCGAGGTATCAATGTGATAAGTTGTTGTGATGTGTAAGATTTGCAGGTAACGGGATCTTGTGAACTTTGTCTGAATTTTAAGACACACCTAGATACAGGCCGTAACCCGGAAGAAGCCGGATGTGCAGTCATGTATGACTTTTGATACCTCGTTTCTTAAACCGTGAGTAAATTTTTGGATTGTAATTTTTCTTTGCAGCTGTTTTTCGATTTGCATAAAATTATTAATACATGGATATTTATAAATATTAATGATTTTATTATAATATTAAGTATGTATGGAGGAAATAAAGTACACATACCTAGTCTACTTAAGAAAATTTTATGAATTCCTACGTCCGCATTTATGTAAGACAAGTTTCCTACTCAGTACTAGCAAGGCGTAACGTAATTATGGTATTGCTAAGCATTATGCATTTAATGATGTAATAGAAATAAAAGAAATTACTATAAAAATACACTAGGAAAACATGAGAGTAAGAAGTAAGTACAGTGATTGTAAGCATCAATAATATCAGATAAATTTGTTTAGATCTGAGGTTCTAACTTAAACGTAGAATCTATAAGTCTTTAGACGATTTTTAAATGTAGCCATTGTTCGTTTTAGATAGAACAATATGATGTTCTTATTTAAGTTAAAACAAAATATAATAATTTTTAACAAAGATGTGAATGAAGACGCGGGAAAAAATAATATCAAGAGCATGTCATAATATCAAAGACACGAAGGTCGATTAAGCAATATTATAAATTCACACGACATTTTAAAACAACAAAAGCCTTGCAATGTTATCTACTAAGTTACATTTGTGAATAGTTTTGATTCATTAACTATTTGAGAAGATTTAACGGTTTTTTTGAGTGACGCTTTTCGTAATTTTATATATTAAATAATATTTATATTACATAGATACAATATAAGGAGCATGCTTGTGCTTTTAATCTTCTTATATTAGTGCATAAAGTAAATAAAAATGTCCGAATATACATGTATGTACACATATAGTATGCATATTTTTCTTCCACTTTTGGAATGAATTTACATAATAATAATGTACACATATTGTTCATATATAATTTGTTTAATTTGCCATTGTTCATGCAGAATCTAGGACACTAGATGAGATCTTTGCATTTATAAATTCCAAAAACAAACACAAAAAGTTCTCAATAGTTTTAAGACGCGATTAATATTACAGTTTAGTGATGTGCAATAAATATAAGCTAAAAAATCTATCGTTCAATTTTTATCAAAAACAACTCAATAATGACGTTGTAAAAAAAATTACACAGATTTTGCGGTAGATAATAACGTTAATATATTACCTATATTAGTAGTAAAATTGCCTATATTTATTTATATATATGTATAGTGTATACATATAATGGTGGTAGTAAGTGGTAAGTGGTAGGTCTTAAACATAGTGTGTGAGAGTCTGCGACCTT